GGTAACGAAGTAGTCGTCCGGGACGGGTACGGGGGGAGGGGGAGGGAAGGAGAGACGCACACACACACACACACACACACACACACACACACACACACACACACACACACACACACACACACAGAGAGAACATGAAAAAATGGGTGTTGCCATACCAATTCTAATGAGACTAATCAATTAAGGTGGGCTATTAGCAGGAGGAAAAAAAAAAACGTTTGTAGTGATAATCAGGATGGCCCATTTCAAACAGTTGACAAGAAGGTGTGAGTAACAGTAGGGGAAAAATTAGCATGGGGAAATAGTTTTTACTTTGTGTAATGACCCATCCACTCCCAGTCTTTATTCAAGTCTAATTTAATGGTGTCCAGTTTGCAAATTAATTCCAGTTCTGCAGTTTCTCGTTGGAGTCTGTTTTTGAAGTTTTGTTGTTGAAGAATTCGACTTTTAGGTCTGTAATTGAGTGACCAGGGAGGTTGAAGTGTTCTCCGACTGGTTTTTGAATGTTATAATTCTTAATGTCTGATTTCTGTCCATTTATTCTTTTGCCTAGAGACTGTCCGTTTTGGCCAATGTACATGGCAGAGGGACTCTGTCCACATATCTATTCAAGGGACTCCATCATAGGACCTAATCACATCAGCCACACCATCAGAGGCTCATTCACCTGCACATCTACCAATGTGATATCTGCCATCATGTGCCAGCAATGCCCCTCTGCCTCTGAGGTGCCACAAGTACTCCTCGTTCTCAGAACCTCATGAATCCTTTGCCTATTTCTCCAGATACGACTGTCTTTCAAATCAAAGAAGAATGTTTATTTTACTACTTCTGGGTAATTAGCACTAGCTGATACAAGTTTGTGAAAGGGGATCTTATCTTTCTTTGGAAGAATACCTAATGTATTAGAGGGCTCCCTCCTTATGCTTTTTCCAGAGGCAGAAGTATATTCTAATAAAATGCACTGAACTATTATTTGAACTTCCACATTTTCAGCATATGTTATGAACATACTCTCTAGAGTTTCCTTAGTAAAAAGTTCCCAAAAACTTCTTGGCATATAGTCCTCTATAATAAATTTGTTACCCAAGTCAATAAAAATGTCTACTACTTCTATGCTGTCTATCAAAAACCTTGATGCTTTGACACTTAAGAAGCAGCAAAATGCACACATCATATTGGAAGACTAAGGTCAGTATTTTCCTTAGTCTTAATATTGTATGTAACACTATCTTTTGGAAAGTGTATTTTAACATTTGAAGCAGTAAAGCACACATTTCCTGTGTCAGTGGCCTTTTCCTTTTGTAACTTTTAATACTATTAATGTACAATTTATATATTGTTTTCCTGTTGTACCAAACATTATATCCTGGTCTCTGACGATGCTATAAATGAAGTTTCTCTAATAATATTAATTAGAAAAATACTCTATGCAATACACCCCAAGTATACATTTATTTATAATTTCTAACCAACACAGTTTTTCCATACTTGCCAAAAATGTTGTTTTTCTGAGGACTAAGACCATGGCAAATCAAAAGTTTCAAAAAATAAATGGCTTATTAAAACACAGAAATATGTAATAAAGACTTGAAAAAAAAATTCAGAATGTGAAATAATGGCTTTTCACCTAATCTGGTTAACTCAAGGATGACTAAACAATTTTACAAAACTTAACTTTCAAAACATCCTTTGTGAGGTAAAAATCCTACCACATTTCAGAAAGTAATTCAGTGCAGTATCTAAATATAGGGGTTTATAATTCAAATGTCATCCCAGCCATACCTATGTAGTGTTGGATTAAATGACGAATATAGAATTACATGGTAAGTGAAACAAGAAATGTTTCTATGGTTGGAAGCAGGATTGGCAATTTCCTGGGAAAAAATTAGGTTAGGACAGGGCACTGGCAAATACCAGTTGAAACTGGGAAAAATAAAAATTATTAGAATATACTAATGAAAATTACTAAAAAAATATCTAGCAATTTAAATAGTTTTGCAGTATATATAATATTTTAAATTGAAATGAGTCATAACATGTATAACTTCCTTGAGAAAATACTGAAATATATACACATTCTGATGTTCAGTATCATATTAAATATATTAGTTTACACCTATTGCAGTTTTACTTTTTATTTGTACAATTTTAAATCAATCTCTGAATCTACTGCTTATGTAACCACAATGTGAATATGTAATTAAAATGAAGTGTAATGGGATGTGCATTAACAAAACAGTTTTTAAAATAGAAAATGCCTTGAACTGGAACTAACTAGTCTTTCCTGGGGTGGTAACAACTACAATTTCACATGGTAAAAATCACATCTGGTAAATACCATGCCATCCCCAGTTGGAAATCTCTTACCTGGTTGGGATGGCTGGGAAAGTAGGCTCTTCTAAAGTTCAATTCCTCAAACGTCGAGGGCCTTATATTTGGACTTTTATAAGGTTCGCTGGTTACTACGGTTTCATGTTGGAAACGGTGATCTTTTAATGAACTGGAAGTATCGTCTTGAATTGCCTAAAATAAAAAGAATTCAACTTTATTCTGTTCTTGATATAGATTTAACATTTACATAAAAATCTCTAGGAATATCAAACCATAAAATCTTCAAACTCTCCAATATATACATATATATTTTATAAGATACATGTTAGAAGGAAACATTCACAAGGTCTCAAATAACATTTTTTTTAAATGGTTTCAGTATCGACAAAGTCAGTCTGCCCAACAGAATGAAATTCCCTGTCCAGAGAACGCATACAGCATAGGCAGCAGCAATACAAGCCTCTCTACCCCACCCATGAACTTCAAATCTGACATGGAAGAACCACTTCTAGGAGGGAGTGTTTAGTCCGGTCTCCAATACTATTTGTTCTAGAAATGTCCACAAAGGTGTTAATTATTGCTGATTTTGACAGTAGCTTATACTGTGTGTTTGCAAAATTGTATTGCTCTCACTACAAATTGTGTAGAAACAAAAACTCAGACATACTGCTGGAGGAAAAAGTTCTGAAAGTAATGATGCGTAAACAGAATTACTGTTTGGGTATCAAGTTTAGAAAGCAAGTTTGTTTAACAGATTGGCTTGCTATAAAGGAAAATAAATGAACAAAAAGTGAATTTCAAGATAGATACTGGAGCTGAGTGCCACATAGTCACAGCAAGCATACACAAAACTACTAATGACTATCCAATATTGAAACTAAGTTTACATGAAACAACTGGGCACAAGGTTAAGACCCTGTGGCAAATGTATATTAAGATATCTTTAGGATAAATCCCACTCATAGCTTCAGACTGTGGAACAGGAAGTGTGCTTTGGTTGAACAGTGGTCTGTTTGTGCAGACGATCAATCTACTGGACAGAATGGAGATAATCTTAAAGAATCTGAGGTGTTTAATGAGTTGGGATATATTGAGGACAGGATGTAGTGAATGAGAATGAGGCAGATCCCAGTTAGCTGCCCCTTCCCCCCCCAAACAACCACCCCATATGCCATATAAAGTTCTGTTAGCACTGACAGATATAATTAAAAACTAGAATTGACTGGGTGATAAAATCTGATGTTACTGAAAAAGGTCAAACTTCAACTTTGAGTTAATGGTGGTCACTGTAATAAAACCAAACAAGCTAAAGATTTGTAGAGAGCCGAAATATTTGAATAAGCCAATTCAACACAAACTACTGCATAGGACCAGATGAGATAGTGATGTTTAGACTTCAAAATAGAAGAGTATTTTCCATTTTGGATGCAAACCAAGGGCTTTGGTATGTCCAAAAGATACAGCAAGTGCAAGACTCTTGACTTTTAACTTTCCTTTTGGTAAATTAAAAAAGTTCTGAAAGTAATGATGGGGAAGGGATAGCTCAGTGGTTTGAGCATTGGCCTGCTAAACCCAGGGTTGTGAGTTCAATCCTTGAGGGGGCCACTTGGGGATCTGGGGCAAAATCAGTACTTGGTCCTGCTAGTGAAGGCAGGGGGCTGGACTCGATGACCTTTCAAGGTCCCTTCCAGTTTTAGGAGATGGGATATCTCCATTATTTATTTATTTATTTATAAATATATGTTTAAATAATTTCTTCTTTAAATTAGCTCTGCATCTGAAGTAGAGAAAAGCATCACATTCTGGATCTTTGAAGATCTGGATGAGATGGAAGGAGAGGTTACTTACCTTACAGTAACTTGAGTTTGAGATGTTTTGCCCCTATGGGTGCTCCACTGTAGGATGCATGCATGCTTGTGCCCTCTCGACTGGAGAATACAAAGCAATGTCCATTGGCACTGTCACGGGGAACATCACTCACTGTCGGCCTGGCGCTGCCTCGTGGTACTCTGGGGATTATCTCGAGGCCGATGCCCGTCTGTGGTTTGCACACCGTCACTCTGTCTCTGCTATCGACTTGCTGCCCCTCTCGCAGCCTCAGGAACTACAACATCCTCTTTGTGGCTCAGCCCTCCGGCCGTGTCATTGTCTGTGTTCCCCCCTTCTGGGGGAGTGTAACTTCTCAATAGTCGGGCAGTCCCCTCACTCACTGCCTCGGTGCCACTTGCTTAGTGGCTGATAGCGGAACCCAGGCCTGCCCTCTTCTCTGGGTGCTAGCCCAGGGACCCTCAGTTCAGCAGTCTGGGCCTTCTCTCTCTGAGCTCACTGGTCTATCCCTGAGCTGCTTTCAACTACTGGTTCCCCTTCTCTTCCTGGGCCTACCAGTTTCCCAAAGCCTCCTCCCAGGGATTGACTGCCTTTTCCCAGCTGCCTCTTCTCCATTCAGCTCCTGGGCTTTATAGGCCCCACAAATTCCTGGCCAGCTGAAGTTCTTTAATCAGCTGCCATATGGGTTAAGTGTACCATCTGGCCTGCATTAAACCCTGCAGGGTGAGTGTGGGGTAGTCATCCCACCACAGGCCCATATTTGCACAAAGTAGCATCTTGTGCCTCCAAACCAGGGGATATAAGGAGACAAGGACCCACTGCCACTCATTTCCTTCTCAGCTGTTGAGAGCCTCCACAGCTGAGGAGAAGGAGAAGGAGGAGGACAGGAGGCGGAGCATCCATAGGGACAAAACATTTCAAAGAACTCAAGTTACTATATGGTAGGTATCTTCTCTTTTGAGTATATGTCCCTATGGGTGCTCCACTGTATAAGAATCCCAAGCAGTAACTTAACAAGGAGGTAGGTGCTGATGAGGCACATTCAAGACCGTTCAGAAGATTGCATCATCAAAGGTAGTAGCATCCCTGAAAACAGGAATGATGGTGTAATGCTTGGCAAAGGTATGGATGGAAGACCAAGTCACAGTCCTGAAAATTTCTGGTATGGAAACATCCTTCAATAGAGCTATATATGTGGACTGAGATCTAGTGGAATGTATTACCACTCTGTGAGAGTACTGCATCCCAGCAGATTCATAGCAGGTAAAAAGATGCATCCTGAAACCCACTTTGCCAGTCTGTGTGTGGGGAAATAGGTTATCCCTTCATTCTCTCAGAAAATGATAAGGAGAGGTCCAGAAGGTCTTAGTCCCATCACGGTAGAAGGCAATGGCCCTTCTGACATGTAGTGTATGTAGGCTGGTCTCATCTGTGGAGGTATGAGGTTTTGGGTAGAATACTGGGAGTCAAATCTTCTGATTAATGTGATATTCTGAAGAGACCTTTGGGAGGAAGTGAGAATGATGGCATAGTATCACCTTTTCTTCATAAAAGATGGTATATGGTGGGCCGACCTTAAGGGCACCAAGTTCTCCCATTTGTCTAGCTGAAGCAATGGCAATGAGGAATGAAGTCTTGAGGGAGAGAGAACAGGTAGCTACTGGTTCAAAGGTAGGTTTCCTTAGGACAATAGGAAACAAATCGAAGTCGCAACTGGGAGAAACAGTCTGTACAGGGGGAAACAAGAGGTTAAGACCCTTGAGGAATCTAGCTGTAGTAGGGTGGGTAAAGACTGAAAAGTCTTTGATGGGTGAGTGGAAGGCTGTAATAGTGGCCAAATGTACTCTGACAGGTTTTCAAATCCAACAGGTAGACAGGAGTTTGGAGACCAGGCCCTCTGAGGCTTGGGAAGATTAAAGAAAACACCAGGAGTGGAGCACTTCCATTTTTGAAGGTAGTCTAGCTCCATAATAGAGAACCATCTAGGAACCATGTTGTCAGGTTCAAAAAGGAGGATTGGAGTCGATCAGGGCCCCGAGTCCTGCAACAGGAGATCCTTCCTGAGATGAAGTTGGTGAGATGTTGGCACAGAGAGGTGTAACAGGCTTGAGTACCATACTTATCTTGCTCAGGAAAGTGCTATGAAGATAACCTTCACTCTTTTCTGATGCAGTTTGGAGTCAGGTCTTGAGGATTAAAGGTAGAGGTGGATAACATATGGTAGGGGATGGCGTAATGTATCGTGAATGTGGGTACCGAAGACCATATCGCGGCCCTGTAGATGTCCTGGATAGGGACGTGCGCCAGGAAGGCAGCCGAAGACGCCTAAGCCCTAGTCAAATGAGCGTTTACTATCGGTGGAGGCATAGCCTGTGCCAACTAGTAAGAAGTACAGATGCAGGTAGTGATCCAATTCAAAATCCTCTGAGAAGACACCGGAAAGCCCTTCATCCCGTCAACTATCATGATAAAGAGCTGGGTTGATCCGCGGAAGGGCTTGGTGTGCTCCAGGTAGAACGCCAGGGTGCGCCTGACATCTACAGTGTGCAGCCGCTTCTCCTCATTTGTCATGAGAGGCTTTGGACAGAACACCGGGAGGAAGATATCTTGGTTGACATGGAAGTGCGACACCACAGTTGGCAGGAAAACCGCATGGGGCTGCAGTCAGACCTTGGAAGACGTGATTAGATTTCTCTCTTTTCCCCCCCATTTCTTTATGGCTTGTGGACTCCTCTGTGCTAACCCAAGATGCTTTTGTTTTGCTTCTAACCTTTAAGCTGGACCTCAAGAAAGCTGTTCTTGGTGCTTAATTCTTATAGTTGCTCTCTCGGTCTCTTTTTTTTAATCTAGCAACAGCCTGAGTTTTCAGATGTGTTTTCTTTTTTCGTTAAATACCTTTTTTAAGAACAGAATTGGATTTTTGTGTCCTAAGAGGTTTGTGCACATGTTTAATTAGCTGGTGGCAACAGCTTATTTCCTTTCTTTCTCAGCTCTTCCCCAGAAGGGGGGTGAAAGGGCTCAAGGGTACCCACAGGAAGGAATTCCCAAGTGCGCCTTCCTGGGTTCTCAAAGGGGTTTTGCACTTGGGTGGTGGCAACATCTACCCATCCAAGGTCAGAGAAAAGCTGTAACCTTAGGAGTTTAATACAAGAGTGCACTGGCCAGTATTAATTTTTAGAATCCTTGTGGGCCCCCACCTTCTGCACTCCAAGTACCAGAGTGGGGAATTAGCCTTGACAGAGGCCAAGGAGACCATGGGGAACTTCAACTTCTTGAGGTACTTGTTGAGGCGCCGCAGGTCAGGGATGGGTCGTGGACCCCCCCCCTCCGGCTTTTGGGATAAAAAAATAGGACAAGTAAAACCCTTTCCCCCTCAAGTGCAGAGGGACTTCCTCCACAGCTTCCACCCGCAGTAGGCCTTGCACCTCCTGAGTGAGCAGATGCTTGTGAGAAGGGTCCCTGAAGAGGGACGGGGGTGAAGGGGGGGGGGAGAATAGAAAAAAACCGGAGGGTATATCCCCCCTGCTACTGTGCTGAGGACCCACTGGTCTGGTGTTATAGAGACCCAGACAAGGAGAAAGGGGGACAAACAGAAAGTAACAGGGGAGCAGGATCCAGGACACAGGCTGGAAGGGTGTCCTCAGGCGCATCCTCAAAATGCCTGCTTGTTACCTGGTTGGTTACGGGTGGAGCTCAGGTGAGCTGAGGGTGCCGGCTGATGGCCTTGCCAGCGCTTACAGCCCTTGCGGAAGGGCACTGACCGAGGTTTGCTTCCGAACCTGTGGAGCTGTTGCGGCTTAAACCGCTTCCTCGCCGGCCCCAGCATGTAAAGGCACAGGAAGTGCAAGGTAGTCCTAGAGTCTTTCAGGCCATGTAATTTACTGTCTGTTTGCTCCAAAAACAATGCCAAGACATCGAATGGGAGAACCTGGATGGATTGCTGAACCTCCATCAATAGGCCCGACAACTGCAACCAGGACGACCGCCTCATAGAGATGACCAAAGCCATGGTCTGGGTCGTAGAGTCTACTGCACCTGAGGCCGCTTGGAGGGCTTCCCTGGCCACAGCTCTGCCCTCATCGAGACTAGCCAGAAATTTTTTCCCGGGGTCCTCTGGCAACAAATCCATAAATTTGGCCATGGACTGCCAAATATTAAAACCATAAAGGCCAAGTAAGGCCTGATGGTTGGCTCCTCTCAGTTAGAGGCTGGATGTAGAATACATTTTTCTAACAAAGAGATCGAGCCTCTTTGCCTCCTTGTTCTTAGGCGTCCAAACTGTTGGTCCTGCCTATCATGCTCATTGGCTGCCAACACAAACAATGAGCTTGGGGCAGGGTGGGTATAAAGATACTCATACCCTTTAGTGGGGACATAGTATTTTCTTTCTGCCCGCTTGGAGATGGGGGGCAGAAAGGAGGGTGTCTGCCACAGGGCCATTAGTAATTTTTACCACTCCCTCGTGCACCGGCAATGCCACCTTGGAAGTGGCTGCTGCACTTAGCACATCGAACAGGGAGTCTGAGGGCTCCGCCAGTTCCTCAGCTTCCAGCCCCAGGTTTGAGGCGACCCTCTTCAAAATTTCCTGGTGGGCCCTTGCATCATCCTGGGAAACCAAGTGAGAGGGCCTTGCTACTGCCTCATCATGCAAAGATGAAGAGGAGGCAGGTACAGATGGGTCTGTCAGCTCCGCCACTTCTGCTAAGGGAGCTTGGCCGAGGCTGGACGGCCTTGGGGAGCCTGCTCCGACTCCGCGTCCGAGTCAGGGGGTGGGCGAGAGACTGTCACTGACCATCTTTCAGATGCCCCTGAGACTGACCTATGCCTTGTGATGGGTGGGGAAAATCCCCAGGGGTTCCATGCTGCCCCTGGTGGCCCGCAGGGGAATGCCAATGGTGGGTGGCCTTGGCCTGCGAGCACGGTCTCCTCCTTGCTTTCCGAGCCCGAGGAGGGAGAAACTTGTCTGGGGGACCGGGATGGTACCGAGGCCACCTGTCTACCCCGATTCTGTCAGCCCTGGCTGTGGACTTCCATTGAGGACCTGTATGGGGACGATGGCTCTTGGTGCCAAGACCCCAATGACCGGTGTCAGCGTTCGGTGGATCGGTGATGGTAACCTGGCGATCGATGCATCAGTTAGAGAGTGGTGCCGCTCTGTAGATTGGGAAAGGGAGCAAGAAGACCGACGTGTCACGAGACTGTCAATGTGCTCACGGTGAACTGTACTGGTGGATCTGGCGACCAGGCTCCGGCGTCTCGACCCTCCAGAATGGTGCTGTGAGCTGTGAGAGCAGCTCGGGTGCTCCCGGCACCGGTGTTCTGGGCTTTGATCTGCACCAGATCGCTGGCAATTGACGCCTAAAACCCAAGGAACAGTGCCTAGAGTCCAGGGACCGATGCCGGGGACTCTGGCAGGCCAGCTGACCCGCATCCGGGGACTGGTGGCACTGTTCAGGCAAGTGCTGACAGGGCACCCACTGTGGTGAGGAGCAGTGCCACACTGATGGAGACCGCTGGAAGGGTCCCAAGGCAGGTTTACCTCTTGAATGGGGAGCCTCACCGGCTGGCGTGGGTGGTACCGGGAGGGACAGTATGTCCTGAGGATACAGCAGCACCAGGTGCTGAGTGCCTCTGCCACTTCCTGGGATGGGGTTGGGTCTTGACAGCTCAGAGCCTGGCCACCATCCAGAGGGGAAGAGCTGCCCCATGCAGGTTTTTGCTCTCCTCTGGCTCTCTCCTTCCTTTTACGGGACATAGGAGAATGCCCCCTCCCGGCCTTAGTTTGCTTTTTAGCTGGTACAGGGATGAGGAATGGCGCCAGTTGGAGGTTGCTGCCGGCGGTGCGTTCCGCACTGAGGCTGCAGTACTTGGAGCAGAGTCTGATCTTGTTGGCTCTGAGGCCGGTGCAAGGGCCGACTCCATAAGGAGCGTTCAAAGATGAACATCCAGCTCCTTTTTAGTCTGTGGGCTGAAGCTCTTGCAAATGCAACACTTGTCGCTCATGTGGGTTTTTCCTAAACACTTCAGGCAGCTTTTATGGGGATCACTGACTGGCATGGTTTTTTTGCCACAGTCATAAGGTTTGAAGCCCAGGGACCAGGACATGCCCCGTCCCTAGGCTGAATCCCACATGGGACTAACTATTTCTAACTTAACACTAAGGGAACTATTAAACTATACAACTTTGAACAACTATATACAACAAATTCACTACTAGATATAGTACAGATGGGAAAGCTTGTGAAGCAAGGAGACGGTCCAGCACAGTCACTGGCAGCAAAAAGGAACTGAGGGGGGTGGAGCCGGTGGTGCCCCTTATACCGGCGCATACGCGGGCCACTCCAGAGGGAACCAGAGCCGGTCTCCTATGGATACCACTGAGGGAAAAACTTCTGGCACCAGTGCATGTGGTGAGCACACATACCTATAATGGAATGGATATGAGCAAGCACTGAAAGAAGAACGAGAAAGATATAAAATTAACATGGAACACATTCAATGGATTAAAAGCTGGCTAATTGCTAGGGCTCAAATGTAACCGTAAATGGGGAATCATGATTGCACAGGTGTGTTTCTAGTGGAGTCCTCTGGGGATTGGTTCTTGGCCCTATGCTATTTAGTATTTTTAAGTAATGACCTGGAAAACATAAAATCATCACTGAAAGTTTGCAGATGACACAAAAATTGGGAGAGTGGTAAATAATGAAGAGGTCAGGTCACTAGTACAGAGAGCTCTGGATTGCTTGGTGAGCTGTACTCAAGCAAATATGTATTTGACCAAATGTAAACGTATACATGTATGTCAATGTACATATTTAGGAACAAAGAACGTAGGCCATACTCCTAGGATACGGGACTCTATCCTGGAAAGCAGTGACTCTGAAAAAGATTTTGGGATGGAGATGGATAATCAGCTGAACATGAGCTCCCAATGCAGTGCTATGGAATAAAGGGCTAATGCAATCTTTGGATGCATAAATGGGGGAATCTTGAGTAGGAAGGTTATTTTACCTCTATACTTGGTACTGGTGCAACCAGTTCTGGCATATTGTGTTTAGTTCTGATGTCCACAATTCAAGAAGAATTATAAACAGGAGAGCATTCACAGAAGAGCGAGACGAATGATTAAAGGATTAGAAAACATGCCTTATAGCAATAGATTCAAGGAGCTCAATCTATTTATCTTAACAAAGAGAAGGTTAAGGGTTGACTTGATTACACTTTAAGTATCTACATGGGAATATTTAATAATGGGACTTCAATCTAGAGGAGAAAGATATAACATAAGTCAATGACTAGAAGCTGAAGCTAGACAAATTCAGACTGGAAATAAGGCATAAATGTTTTATAGTGAGAGTAATTAACTCTCAGAACAATTTTCCAAGGGTAATGTTGGATTCTCCAATGAAAATTTTTAAATCAAGATTGGATGTTTTTCTAAAAGATATGCTGTAGGAATTATTGTGACGAAGTTCAATGGCCTGTGTTATACAGGAGGTAAGATTAGATGATCACAATGATCCCTTCTGGCTTTGGAATCTATGGACCCATGCTCCGGCACACACACAAAA